TAATTATGTGATAAAATCGTAAAAACAATAATAAGATATTGATCAGATGATGGCATATGTTAAAACTTAAATTAATTAAGAAAAATAAATTCATAATGAAAATTAATTAGCAAGTTACTAATCAAATAATAATAAAAAAAAATTCTAATAATCCAGAAAACTTTACATATTATTAAATTAATAGTAAATAAAAAAAATCTATGAGAATACTTATTTTATCAATATAGAGTTATAGAATATCACAAAGAAAATGTAATTTTTTTGAGAAATTTCAAAAAATACCACTTTTCAAGTGCTACTTTACAAAAATGCCACTTTTAAAAAAAAAATTCTTTATATTATTTATATTTGGATTAATTATGTTCTATTAGAGTTTAGTTATGAGGGTTTAGGGGAGTTTATGGGTCAAAATATTTTTTAGTGTTTAGAATTTTAAGATATAGAGTTTAAAAATCTATAATTAGTGATATTTTTGCTACACTCCTAAGTGGCATTTTTGCAAATGTGCACATAAAAAATGATATTTTTGCAATTTTCCCAATTTTTTACCAATGACCCATTGGTACTCTCCAAGTGTATATAGATAAATTTCAAAAAATGCCACTTTTCGAGTACCACTTTACAAAAATGCCACACTTTTGAAATCATTACAAATTGCCACTTTTTCAAAATTATTTTTTCTTTATATTATTTATGTTTGGGTTAACTATACTTTATTAGGGTTTAGTTATGAGGGTTTAGTGGGGTTTATGGGTCAAAAAAAAATTTAGTGTTTAGAATTTTAAGATATAGCGTTTAAAAATCTATAATTAGTGGTATTTTTGCAAATAAACACTCCTAAATGGTATTTTTGCAAATGTGCACATAAAAATGGCTTTTTTGCAATTTCTCCGTGTATATATTGAAAATTTATATGAGTTGAAAAATAATTATATTATATTTACTATTAAGTTAATACTGTATAAAGTTTTGTGAGTATAAATCTCTATGAGAAATACATTAATGAAATACAATGAGAAATTTCAAAAAATGCCACTTTTCAAGTGCCACTTTACAAAAATGCCACACTTTTGAAATCTTTACAAAATGCCACTTTTTCAAAATTATTTTTTCTTTATATCATTTATGTTTGGGTTAATTATGTTCTA